CCGGAGCCATGTGAGACACTTTTTTTTTAATGAATGGGCGCTTTTTATTAAACTTTTTTTGGACTGATGCATGCAAAACCGCTGAGTGCCATGAAACTGCTTGAAAGATCAAAGACAATTTTTAATATAACTCTGACTGGATTCGTCTGAAAGAAGAAAGTCATATAAACCTAGGATGACTTGAGGGTGAGTAATTTATGGGCTAATTTTCATTTTTGGGTGAACTAACCCTTTAAGTTTGATACAACTCACTGTAGGAGTTTTTAAGGACCCGCGGGAAATCTGCATTTAAGGTAGCCCGTCGGGCAGAGTGGTGATACATTTTGGTAGCCCGACTGGAAAACACAATAGCCCCGGGACTTCGGGCTAGCGATTTTGCGAGCCCTGATGTCCTATGGCTAAAAGTGCAAAATGTTAATGTAAACAGAGTATTAGCAATATTAGTGAACAGTTTATTTAGCTCTCGCTTCTGTGAATCTTAATAACTAATTTACTGTTTGCATTTTTGTAACCACATGTGTGTTCCATGACATAAAATGAGAGGTATTTTGTATTATTATTATTATTATGCAGTAAAATAATAACAATTACAAGTACAAAGGTAGAATACAAAAGACAATTAGGGTTACATAGGCTAAATTAATCCAAAGCAAACTATGGGGCTAGCGATTTTGCGAGCCCTGCAGATATTGTTGTGAGAAGGAAGAAATGCTTAATGCTTTTTTTTTTAAAGATTACAAGGCCAAATGAATTCAAAAATACATGAATTAATAATTTATAAATATCTATATTTATTTATAAATATGTTGATTTCATGGTGACGTTAATAATTGATGAGTTCTCCCAACAGACATTCTGCACTGTATTATTATATTTCTCTACTTTTAACCTTAGACAAATCATTTATTATTTCTTGGAATTTATATAGGAAAAAATATGGAGATGGAAAAGTCCAAAAGTTTGCAGAGGTTTATTGCAAGTTTATTTTCCATTACCTGCCTCACACATTCCACCAAAGGGTCTGAGCGTGTGGTTGTGCTGGGGTTTGATGAAAGACGGCGCAGACGGCAGAGACCTACCGTACTCCCTATCCTGTCTTCAATTTTGAACCATCTCCAGACATATGATGACCCTGCACTGAGATACCCTTTACTTCAAGGGACACATAGTATCAATAACGCCTGGTATGCTTTCGTTGACACATTTTGTATTTTCAGACAAAAATATAATTTTCAGCTTTGTAATATCATTAATCACATTACTTCTTTTTCTAAGGGAAAATAATTTTTTCCTCTGTGAAAATTCCTTCCTGAATATTTCACAGCTTAGCATCTGCTGAGCATAAGTCTGCACCTCAGGTGTGAGAGAAAATGGGTAGGGCTGTTGCCTTGGGAAACAAGCCTCACAAGGATGAACTTTGATCTGTAAATTATTATTATTTTTTTTCTAAAATGAATACCCAGATCCCAACATGTGGAAACCATTTGTTGCAGTCCGGCCATCTCTGGTGTAGGGAGCATTTTTATCTACTTTGGTCATGTAATCACCACATGAAAACACACTTCTTGGTTGCTTGTACTGCAGAGGGGATGTCAGAAGAAGTGGCATTTTATAGCAGAAGTTTCCTTACCGTACAGAAAGATCCATTTCTGTGAAGCATGTAGGCATAGTGTTTGGTAAGCATGGAGGCTGGCTACTGGTGTCATTCGGATCCAGGTTGCTGAATGTCCAAATGGCATTTGGATACTGGCATAGTACCACAAAATCCTGAAAAACATAGGAGATTATATTTTATGCTGTAAAGTATGTTAAAGCTGTATTTTTTACAATACAAATACAAGGGTAAGGTAAAAGAGTTTATAAATAATAAATATTTGACTGCATCTTTAAAGCAAGGTAACATGAGAACCCAGTTAACATGTGGAACCAAATCAACTGCACTATTGTATTAACCAGTAAGCCTAGGCTATAGTAACACAGAGAAGCACTGCTACAGTACTTGTTTTGAAGCAAAAATACTCCAGAGGAATGAACAAGTGAAAAGACATTTGAAAAGGGGTTAAAACATGGTTGCTTGGTTTCTATTTCCGCCATATTGCGTCGGTTTATCCATGATAACATCTCATAGTTCAGAAATCTGTGAAATGAACTTTAAATAACTTTTCACTTTAAGTGTGTCATGTCGTACCTGGTAATGTCACAGTGTAATCTACAACATAGCTTAATTGAAAAGATGAATGGGATGGAGGAAAGCAGCTAAAGGGAGTACAACTGAAAGGTGTTTTACCCCCAGTGCGTAATTTGAATTTTTTTTTAGATATATTCTTATTCACAAATGTAATAAATTCAAAGTCAAGCAAGTATTAAATATGCAAAACAGACAGAGCATAACCAGCAACTAGGGCTGGACAATAATTCAATATCAATATGTATCGCGATATAATTTTTTTCAATAACGGTGATATGATTTTTAAACACATTTCCGATATTTCGATATACATTACCAGTTTCCCATACATTGATTTATTTGTGCCGTTTGACTTCGTTGAATAAACATGAGCACTGCACGTTTCAAAATCATAACACGGCGCGGGTGTTTTATATGAATGTATCTCTGAAGGGAATTGACTGTCTTCAGAAAAGTTTCGATGGCATTTTCATTTGATCTGATAAGTAGCATTCATGAGCGGAGCTGCTTTGATTTACAGCCATTACCGGGGAAACTGCTAGTTTTATCACTCTAAAAGCGCCTCCTGCTGGCAGAGAATGAGTTTTCATTTTAAATAAGCCCGTCTCCAGCAACATTTCCAGTTTTTGTTGTTCAATTTTTTTGTTTTCTGCTTCAGCGACTCGGAGCACTTTTCATACCCTATTTTCTGGCTGAAGCACATTTGTTTCAATCTATAAGAATAATCAGCCTACACTACCAGTCAAAAGTTTTTGAACAGTAAGATTTTTAAAGGGGTTTTTTTTTTTTTAAGAATTCTCTTCTGCTCACCAAGGCTGCATTTATTTGATCCAAAGTACAGCAAAAACAGTAAAATGTTGAAATATTTTTACTATTTAAAATTGCTTTCTATTTGAATAGATTTTAAAATGTAATTTATTCCTGTGATCATACATAGGTAAATTTTCAGCATCATTACTCCAGTCTTCAGTGTCACATGATCCTTCAGAAATCATTCTAATATGCTGATTTGCTGATTATCAATATTTAAAACAGTTGAGTACATTTTTTTTTCAGGATTCTTTGATGAATAGAAAGATCCAAAGATCAGCATTTATCTGAAATAAAAAGCTTTTGTAACATTATACACTATTCCATTCAGTATAATTTTTATTATTTTTTTGGGAAAGAAATGATAGAAATTAATACTTTTATTTAGCAAGGATGCTTAAAATTGATCAAAAGTGATGATAAAGGCATTTATAATGTTACAAAAGATTTCTATTTCAGATAAATAGTGTTCATATCGATATCGGAATTATATCGTATCGACCGAAATTAAGAAATATATCGTGATATCAATTGTGGCCATATCGTCCAGCCCTACCAGCAACCAATAATAATAATAATATTAGTTGTTGAACATTATTAAATTGACCACATGCGATTAAAATCCTTTTTTAAAGTAATGATAATATTAGAAGAACAGCAACTTAACAGAATTATCATATGTAATCTCTTACATACACAGGGAAAAGAACTTATAAACATTCCATTCATAAGACCTCTGAACCTGACACATAGTTTGTGGCTTTTTCTTTACTAGCAATTCATTTAATGACTATTGAAGCTTTATGTGAACAACCTATTTTTTATTTCTTTTGCACAGTCTACATTTATATTTGTTTTTATAGCCAAATTGCACATTGTTTGGAGAATACCGGGCAGGATGTGGACATGCTGAAAAAACAGAAAGGTGTTCATCTGACGCTGTACAAAGAACTTGACTAAATTATCAGACAAATTCTCAAGTAGCCAAAAATCACCAAAATGCACAACCCTACTACAAAGGCATTCATGGTCAATGCTGTTTGGTTACTTTGGTTGGGTTAAAGGAATAGTTCACCCCAAAATGAAAATTTGTTGAAAACTTACTTACCCTCAGGCCATCAAAGATCATCGGAACAGATTTTTAGCATTGCATTCACTGGAGGAAGCATTGTTATGGATTATTATGGGCTCATATTTTGGCCAGAAGCTATGATTTAAAATGCCTTGATGGATTTGTTTCTTACAAACACAGTTTTATACTTCAGAAAACATTAAGTTGAGCTGTGCGAATTATTTGTGGATTATTGTGATGTTTTTATCAGCTGTTTGAACAGCTATGATTTAAAATGCCTTGATGGATTTGTTTCTTACAAACACAGTTTTATAATTCAGAAAACATTAAGTTGAGCTGTGCGAATTATTTGTGGATTATTGTGATGTTTTTATCAGCTGTTAAAAATCAGCTGAACTCTCCTTCTGACGGCACCCATTCACTGCAGAGGATCCATTGGTGAGAAAAAGATGTAATGCTAAATTTCTCCTAATCTGTCCTGATGAAGAAACAAACTCATCTACATCTTGGATGGCCTGAGGGTGGGTACATTTTCACCAAATTTTCATTTGAGTACACTATTCCTTTAAAATCTGCATTCTGGCTTTTTAAAGTACAATATCAAAACAAATCTTATATCTAAAGTCTGCCACCAAGTGGAATTAGACTAGTTGGTTTACAAAGAGAAACGTGCTGGTATAAACAAGGCCTGGTGTGTCAAAGGCACATTACAACTCTCACAAGATGTTCATTACTTGGCATTAAAAAAAAAGGCACATGTAATTCAATTATCTGGGTCTCTACAACCAAATGAAATCCCCTAAATAATATGGTAAACAAGCATTGTGACTCATTACAAGACCAGACAGAAATCTTTTTGGTTGTCTTTGCACTAACCCAACCCATCATTGAATTCACCCTATCCGGTGCCACTCTAAATAATTTACTCCGATAGCCAAATGTATTTAAAGCAGATCAATACCCTTAAAGGACAGCTGGGGCATACTGAATAAACAGAGACCACTCTCCAGAACTACACCAGCCTCCCACTGCATAGCTTTAATCAATCTATCTTTATCTGATCTGCCATCACACTAACCAACAGTGGCGTAGAAAGAGTTAAAGAAATCAATGGCTCTCACTCACTTTCCTACCATCCATTGGAAGCACAAGCACAGAGGACGCTTGAGAAGTAAGTGTTAAAGAAAAGTCTGTTCAATAAAAGCTCAGTAGCGTGTATCAAATTTCTGTGTTGGTCTAGGTTTAGTTTTCCACCTTCTAGATCAGAATGATATGACTAAATGGTGGGGGTGATACATCAGCACCTTTACGATGGGATGGGTGATACATTTGGGGCCAGGTCTGAGGTGGCTGTGTGTGTTTTTCCCTCTTGCTTAGCCATCCTGTCTCCAGAGCGAGTCAGGGAGGGCGGGGGGCTGACTTTAGATGGCGCAGCAGCGGGCTCCAGGGCAACTCAATCGGGGCCTGGCTGATATTTTAAAAAACAGATAGGAGGGGAAAAACAACTGTGTTTATTGTTGTATGATATTACAGCCTTTTAAGCAATTAAGTGATTGAATTCGCACATTACCTGAAGGCAGATTTGTGCCAAATAGAATGTCAATAAAAAGTAAAACATTACTTTAATGAGTCTTTTTTAAATTGAGGAGGATGCAAAGGATTGCTAAGACGGTCCATAGGTATGTTTAGAGACAAACAGTGTAAAATTAATAATAATAATAAAACAATAAAAATAAGATTAAAATAAATGAATACATATAAATACAATAGTAATACATAAAAATAAAACAATAAATATTTGATTATTATAATAATAATATTATTATAATTATAATAATAATGAACTTAATAGAAACAAATTATTTTCCCATACATAGAGCGAGAGACATTTACAATACAATTTTTTTCACTGTATAAATTGGGTATTTATACAAGAAACTATATAGATACCTTTTAGGATGATCATATTTGGGGGTTTGTGGCATCTAAAAGATTGAAACCCCCTACACTAAACCATGTACTCACTTTGGGCACAAAGCACTCGACCATCACATCTGCATAACAACTGATCATTACTTAACATTCAAAGTAAGACTGAACAAGTAATTGCTCTAGCAGTTACTGTAAATACAGTGTCACATGCTACATAACACAAATAACAGGACATATAATGAGTCAATGTTTTGCACTTTTTAACATAATAGATCATCCAGAAATGTACATTCTTTCATCATTTACCAATCCTCATGTCATTCCAAACTTGCATGACTTATGTTCTTCTGTGAAAAATAAAAGATGATGTCACCATTCATTTTTACTGTACGGGGTAAAAGTACTGTTAAAGTGAATGGTGACTTCTGCCTCACATCTCCAGAAACTTAGAGCACATGAGGCTGAGTAAATGATCACAATTTTTATTTTCGAAAGAATTACCCTTTAACAAACCCTGATTTTGTCCTCATCAGCACAGTTTTTTTCATAGGAGATCCTGCATCAAGCTGTGGAATGCACAGATTTCTGGCATATATACTAGGAGCCTTTAGCTTGAATTTTCTCAAATAAATCCACTTTCCTCAGACTAAGCCTCTCTCCTCCAGGCTTCTCGAAGCAGACTTCTTCACAGGCAGCGTTACCATCTGTTTTTTGACCTCCTTGAGAAGGTAAAAGAGCTGAGCAGACCCCCTTCCCCCCAGAATCCATAAATTAAAAGCAGCTTTTGTATTGAGCGGGCTAGCATGGCCAAGAGACTAAAATCTGGGAAGAAGTACAAAATGTACAGTAAAACCAGTATAATTTAAATGTAACATTTCCACAAACCTACGCATACAATAATATAAGCCAAAAGCAGCTTTTTGTATTGAGAGGCGGATACGTGAGCAAAACAGCCTGAAGTTAAAAACAGCCCATGAAAAGAATATATAATCCAAAGCATAAATAAACACGCTATTGTGAAGTGAAAAGAAACTAACATGAAATGTAAAATAGTTTCCATAAGAGAGACAAATAAACATTTAGAAGCAACACACAGCTGTCAGATTATTAGGGATTTGTTGCTAGCATTACGCGACTGTCGCGTTAATAACTTTTTACTCGGACAAATCCTATTACAAATCCTGACAGTTTTCTTCAAACAGTAATAATGCAATGGTAAACATATAATATAACGTAGATTTACAAAGACAATGTATTACTTTTAAACAAGACAGTCCGTGTTGGTAGTTATGGGAGTAAATTTAAACGTATTTTGACTTGCTAACGGGGATAACGTTAGCCCACTAGCTATCGTTCAACTCGCTTCACTCTTGAGGAAATCTCCCGACAAAATCATTTAACAAACGCGTAAACGCTCAGCGTTTTTTCTCTTTAAGACTTGCACATTTGTGTACAGCGTAGTAAAAATAAATAAATAAAAAACACCACGGCAGTCGGTTTTGCCTTTGTAACGCGGTTAAAACATTACGTGGAAATGGAAAATTTAGCGCAACAAACTTTCGCGAGGCAGCGTTTAGCATAGCCAAGCTAACACTTTCCATTTCACTTACCGAAAAGGTTCTTCAGTAAATCTTATTTTCGTGTACTCCGTCAATTTATTGAGCTCTAGACACTTGGATAACTCAGAGGGTTCGTTTCTACTCGTGCAGGACTCTCATTGAGGTCTGTTAAGGGTCTGGCACTGACCATCACAGTGGAGTGTACTGCACTTACTACACACACTAGTTACTGCAGACAACTCACGGTCACGGCAGCGAGCGCGCTGATTGAGCGACTCCCAGCGCCCCCTGGCGACTGAAGCGAAAAAACAAAATAGACTGGTAATTCGATGCTAATAAAAATCATATTATCAGAGAGAAATCATATTAGTTCATTTGTTATGTTACTGTTTTATTAAATGAATGATAAACATTAGGCTATCATTTTAATCAAACAAATAGAGATGTAAATACTACAAATGTGAATTAGTAGTAATGGGGCTGTCCAGACTGCAGTACAGTTTAATGATATTTAATTATACATTGAGAACAGTGCCCATAAAATGTTGTGTTATGAGCTATTTTCAGTTAATAAAGCAACTTAATACTTTTATGTTTAACACTTCAGTGCAGATTCAGGTGAATTTTGGGCATTAAGGCAATGGTCAAAGTAAGCACAAAGTAAGGCTGTTTTCACAAGATAATTTCAAATACAAAAAAGAGAACAAGTTATTTTTTCATTCCATCTTTGAAACAAAACATATAGCTCATATTTAAGTAGATACTACATAAAGTAAATCTACAGTATTCTGTAGAGCAGCATCTCAGTTTGAACTCTCACACATAAACACCAAGAGAAACACTGCATTTTTCAACAGAAGAAGACTGTAAAGACACTTGTTAACTTGTTAATACTCCAGAACGTCATGTTTATAAATATGAGTGTCACATAACACATACTGTATATTCTTTATTGTACCATTGCAACACCAATGATCGGCAAACTTATGTAATTATGGATCAATCTTTTATCTCTGTAATTCCCAGGTGAACTGCACAATATAGCAGATGGCAAATTGAGATAATACATTGTGTAAAATGACTGCTTTGCATTCAATAGTGTAATTACATCAAATAAATCTGTTTTTGAAAAATGCTAAAGATACAACATTCCCACTTCTGAACCCAACACTGCTATTAATGTAATTTTAAGTAACTTACTAATCTTGTGTAAAAGAAGCAGCTAACAATTTATTAAATTTAAGAGAGGCAATTATGATATGCCAAACCATTGTGTTAGTAATATAAAAACAAAAACAAAAAAAACAAGCCAAATTCAAAAGTAGCCCTAAGAACACATTTCAACTGATATGGTAGGTTAGATTAACTTCAATATAGCAGTGAAAATATATACTGATAAATCAAGGACACGTTCATAAACTGTCTAAATAAAAGTTATATTAAGTGAATTGTATGCATAAAATATCAATATTACAAAGGAAAACATGAGTGTCTGCAATTGCAATCACATTGTGTAAAATGATTGCTTTGCATTCAATAGTGTAATTACATCAAATAAATCTGTTTTTGAAAAATGCTAAAAAGATACAACATTCCCACTTCTGAACCCAACACTGCTATTAATGTAATTTTAAGTAACTTACTAATCTTGTGTAAAAGAAGCAGCTAACAATTTATTAAATTTAAGAGAGGCAATTATGATATGCCAAACCATTGTGTTAGTAATATAAAAACAAAAACAAAAAAAACAAGCCAAATTCAAAAGTAGTCCTAAGAACACATTTCAACTGATATGGTAGGTTAGATTAACTTCAATATAGCAGTGAAAATATATACTGATAAATCAAGGACACGTTCATAAACTGTCTAAATAAAAGTTATATTAAGTGAATTGTATGCATAAAATATCAATATTACAAAGGAAAACATGAGTGTCTGCAATTGCAATCTCAGAATTTGACCCTGATGTTCTTTAATAGCGTGGCATGAAACAAAAACTTTACTGTAATCTTAAAGATGCACATCAGAGTTGGGTAGCATATACCCACAGAGGAAAAAAAAAATCGCAGGTGCCCCATTTGTTATTAATTTTAAGAAACATATTAACAACACAACTTTCATCCTGTGAGTGTGTGTGGCTCTGTCTTGTTAAATAAATTATTTATTCAATAAAAATCTCAATGCCTTCTTGGCAAAGAAAACAAGTAAATTATCCATGCAAATTCAGAACAGTACAGCATTTGCAAAGATTATGTAAATATTGAGGTTTTGCACACAATAAATAACAGAACGAAAATCAACTATCATAGGTGACAAGGCAAAACATGAACAATTAAAAAAAATCCTCTGTTAAACCTTGAGAGCTAGACATTATTACAGCTAATTATGTCTTGCATACACTGTGAGGGCAATAATTAATAAATTAAAATAAATTCTGTTACCTTTCCAGATGCCCTGCTTATATTCTTAAAATAAGTTGATAAAAACAGAATGACACATAATGCTAATGTTGACATCACATACGCATGAGTTAGCTCACTTGCTTTCACACACACTAAAAGCACAAATAAACAAGATTAGTAACACATAAAACACTCATTCAGTATTGAAAAGACTGCACAACAACATCTCAACATCCAGTCTCAATCTATTTAACAACCTTTTGTGACTGATATTCAAGTCAGGGATCCATAGGCCTCATTATTGTTCAGGAAAACAAATAGTAATGGAATAAAAACACATTTAAATTTACTTTAGAGTTTAAGGCATAATAACATGCATAGACATTTTCAGGCTGTTTCTGGTTTATGAATGATTCAAGACATGACAGACTATGTCAAGAGCAACTACATCTGCAGGCAATCTTCAACATTCATGTAGAATATTAATATCTTTATAATTAAGGTTTTAGTCACTAATATCACAAAAATTGTATGTTGCATAAATTCACCAAACCCCCAAAAATGTGAAAATGTTATATCTCTTAAATTAATGTATATCAGACAAACAAGTGCATGTATGTAAATGTATTAGGGTTATAATAAAGACAAATAATTACCTTAAATTATATGTGCACATTGGATTTGGATTAAAAAGATCAAAAAGCCTAGTTTATGTATCATTCAGTCATTTGCTTAATAATATGCTGTTTAATAAACGATATACTGTATATCTTTTATATTAGTTTTTGTGTCATTTGGATTGGCACTGATGTACTGACATAAAACCACACATGCAAATGTTACATTAATTGCATTTAATTCCTTCACTGACAGCTTATGATGCAATGTTGAAGCATCTACACATTGATGGCATGTGCATGCTTCTTGCATAAGGGCTTGTCTTTCTTGGAGTAGAAAGGTTGTCCTTCCAGGTTCACATGGCACACCTGTATGTTGGGACATAAATGCGTCATAAATCCTCAGTGCTGAATCATTTATAAACCATATGGACAAGTGCTATAACAAAATTATTTTGAACCTACCGCACAAACAAAGCAGGTATCATGCCATGTGTGACCAAGAGCTTCAATAAATTTGTCTCCTGCCTCAACTGGGAAGTCACAGCCATGGCACTTTGTGCTGAAGAGTGCAATATAATCTGGTGACAGAAACATTTAATGAAAATAATAGTAGTCTAGACTGTATAATTGCATACACCAAACTTGTAAATATAAAAATTTTGTCAGACATAGCTGGTGGCTCCCATACCTTTCTCACAATACGGCTCACCATCCTCCATATGAAAGAGGCTGTTTCCAAAGGGCTTTCCACAAGCTGCACACACAAAGCAAGTGGTGTGCCAGGTCTGCCGCAGTGCATGCATCACTTCCTGTTGAGCAGATGTGGAGTGGAATAACTGTCAGTACCTGTGAAGTGTGGTTTCAGTCATGTCTGTGCATGTGTGTGCGCAATGTTAATATGTTTTCAACATACTCCCATGATCTTGGTGTTGCAGCGAGCACAGGTAGGTGCAAAGAATTCGCCATAGCAGTTTTCACAGTAAACATTATTCTGCTCCTCCACAAAGCTGACATCAGCCAGGGACGTGTGGCAATAATGGCAATTGAACTCCTCTGGATGCCAGGAACGACCCAGTGCCACCAGGAATGGTCCCCTGAGGAGTCAAAAACACTCATTAAAAATGTCCTTGGACATTCATCAAAGACAAATGATGTTTTGAGAACATTTAACAGCAATTTTTTTTTGGAATAAATCGGACAGATTTCTGTCTTGCTAAGGAAGTGACTGGAAGTGACACAAAAATATTCTCTCCAAGTGTATTTAAGGTGAACTTTGTTTAAATGATCATAGTTTTAATGATTTAATAATGTTAATATTTAATGTCTGGGTCTGTGATTAAAAAAAATCTATACATAGAATGCTTTTTTATTTTAGTATTATTTATACACTATTATTGAATTAGCTTTTATTTTTAAATTTTCACTTTCTAATTTTATTTCAAATTTTAGTAATTAATAATTTTTGGCTTTTTAAATATATATTTTTAAATATTATATATTTAGCTTTATTTTATTTGAGTTTCAGTTTAAATAATTTTACTACTTCATCTTAAACTAATTTATATTTAGGTTTTTCATCTGTTTAGCTTTATTTATATTTATATTTAAGCTTTATTTTAATTAATGAAATGGCAACATGTATATTTACACACACACACACACACACACACACACACACATATATATATATGAAAAATCGGAAATCTGCTAGTTTGAATACAAATCAACCTCTGGGACATAAATGTGTCCGAATTCGAATTTAAACACATATCACAAGAGGTCTTGTGATTACAGATGGGTGAATGTCACACAAGTGCTATCACACCTGATGATGCTATTGCAGGCTCCACACAGAGGTGTTCTGTTGCTGGCTGCAAACCGCTCTGCCCTTTGAGCAACTCCACGAGCCACAGGTGGGAAGGGGGCAGGGTTGAATGGAGGAGGGGCGGGGTTGAATGCAGGGCTGGGTGCAGCAGGAGCGGGAGCAGGGACGTGGTTGGGGATGTAGGCTGGTGGTGGTGGGGCCGCCTGGGGAAGAGGGTTCACTCTGATATTTTTGGTGGTGGTGGGTTTGCTAGGGTCAAATTTCTCGGCAAAGTTCTCATCAGTAACCCAAGGAGGCCTGTTGGAAGAAGACGCTGGAGCTGCGGCAGGAGCAGGTGGAGGAGGAGCAGGTTTGTGAACCATTGGAGGAGCTGGTGATAAAAGATGCCCATGAGTTAGTATTGCATACATACAGTCATACAAAGATGGACACACACATACACTGAATTATATCAAATACAGTGGGTATAGAAAAGAATCACCCCCCTTTAAAGGGGTCATATGATGTTGCTAAAAGAACATTATTTGGTGTAAAAATAATCACATTTTGCTTCTTTGCAGCCTGAAATGATGACAGAGACAGTTTTTGTTTTATCCAGCTGCATTTACTCAGTGCAACTTATAACATCCAAGTGAAAGATATAACATAATATAGGTGACCACTCTTAAAAATAAACACAGTAACGAACTTAAACGTGAATGTTTACAATCAAAATACACAGGGATTAATCACTCTAGAAATAACGTAAAGGCTTAATTAACCCAAGTTTACCCAGGGTTACACCAACATGTCAGAAAAAAAGAAAAAGAAAAAAAAACAGAATCACTGAGTTGGAAAAAGGATCACCCCCCCTCCTAAAAATGACTTGTAAACTCAGTCAGGTGTAACTAATAACTTTCTCAATGGCATTTGACTTTCAACTTTGATGAGCTGTGGTGATTTTTATTAGCTCAGCATGAAAAGAGCTTTCCTAGAGCATTTCAGTCCTTGGTAGTGCAACTGAAGCAAATGATCAACTATGGGGGGCAAGGCACTGTCAAAAGATCTCCGGGATAAAGTTGTGGACAGGAGCTTGAGATGGATACAAAAAAAAATTCAAAGGTTTTATCAATGCCTAGAAGCACAGTGTCTATTATTAGGAAGTAGTTGGTATTTGGTAGAACACAAGACCCTCTCTAGATCAGGACGTCGCTCCAAACTGGATGAAAGAGCCAGGAGGAAACTGGTCAGAGAGGCGACCAAGAGGCCTACAGCAACTCTGAAGCAGTTGCAGGAATTTATGACATTGTGTGCATGTGACAACAACATCAAAAATTCTCCACAAATGTAGCTTGTATGGGAGGGTTGCAAGAAATTACCACTCCTCAAGAAAGGTCACATGCAGTCACAGCTGAGCTTTGCCAAAACACACCTTGAAGATTCTGAGGCCACATGGAAAAATGTGTTATGGTCAGAAGAAACTAAAATTGAATTATTCTAACTTGAGCAGTTCTGCAAAGAGTGGGCAAATATTGCAAAGTCTAGTTGTGCAAAGTTAGTAGAGACATATCACAACAGACTGTAATTAAAGCAAAATGTGGTTCAACAAAATACTGACTCGAGGGGGTGATCCTTCTTCCAACTCAGTGATTGTTTTTTATTTGAGTTTTTTTCTGACATGTTGGTGTTATATCTTTCACTTGGATGATATAAGTTGCACTGAGTAAATACAGCTGGATAAAACAAAAACTGTGTCCGTCTTCATTTCAGGCTGCAAAGCAACAAAATGTGATTATTTTAAAGGAAGTGATTCTTTTCTATACCCACTGTATGTGCAATGGCTACCTGGGGCAGATGGGTAGGCTGCGGGCACAATGGTGGCAGTGCTGACCACTTTAGATGGAGGTGGACCTAGAGGGATCTGGATGGAGCTGTGCTGCATGGGTGGTGGCGGCTGCTGCATAGGTGGAGGCTGGGTGTAAGAACTACAGAAGAACAGACCAGAAACTCAGTAACATTTAATGAAGAAGCTACACCTCCTTTCTGCTTTTCCTAACTACTTAAACTTTTCCTGATCAATCTAAAACATTCACATTACACTTTTGGCAGATGCTTTCTTTTTTATTAATTATAATTGTAATCAGGGCCGTTTCTAGGCATAGGCGAGCTAGGCGGTCGCCTAGGGCGCCACCAGCTGAAGGGGCGCCAATGAGCGCACGTACTGGCACTTTTAGCAGGGTTGTGATAAAGAGTGGCACCGTCACCCTGAAATATGACTGCCGCCCCCACTGGATCCCCCAACATTATTATATATAATAATTATATTGTTGATGTTTTATAAAGAGCTACTACATGTTTTACAAGACTTAACCCATTGATGCCCATATTTCTTTTCTCTGTGAAATTATGTATTTGCACCAAACATACGTACTGTGTGCAAACTGTAACTGTATTTTAAGTTTTAAATATGTGGTACATATCTCTATACAGAAACATGTACAAAATCTATAATAATAAAATGTTCTGCACATCTGTCACTATAAAGTTGCAAGTGTAAACATGCAGAAAGGGCAACAAGAATTAAACACCACATGACACATTACCCAATAAGTTGTCATAAGTTTTTCCTAAGGTTGTTTATTTTTACAGTATGTCAGCTGTTTTTCTCTTGTTTATCTATAGTCTTCTAAATATCTACAAATAGAAAAAGAGTGATATTTCCTTTGGTAACTTTAGCTGTCCACAGGCTTAAATGGGTTATTGACTATAAGTTTGGATGCACATTCAGTTCTCAGAGACTGATATTACTGCTAATATTACCCAAGGATGTCTGACCACATAATCACATACACATTTGAAGATGTCTTACCTTAAATCCCTTCATTACAATTTTAATGCAAAAATTAGTGTTATTTTAACAACGCAGTGCACAAGAAAAAGACAACAACAGTGTTAGAAGAGAGAGCCTCCATTAATTTGAGTAAAATTACACAAATCTTTTCCATGTATGGACCACAGCAGTACCTGGAGATGGAGGTTTTGTACTGGGAAGTGTAACCCATAGAGGTCTGCAAGCCGAAGCTATAATGTAACAAAGACAAAAATGGTGGACAGTCAAACGTATCATGCCTAGAATGAACCAGAGAGTGGACATGTGCACTCATATCTGTACGACAAACAGGATCAGATACTTTGGATATCCAAATCAAAATACATATGGAAATTAACTGAATATGCAGTAACTCTTCAAATACTTGTCAGATATGTATTCTGTTCTTGTTTTGTCTGAATATAACAACACTGTAAAAAATGACCGTGAATTTGACGGTAAAAGACTGTAAAAATGCTACAGTAAAAACCTGTTAAATGGTTAACGGTAAATTCCCCTACTATATACGGTGAAAAACTGTATTGGACATTACTTACTAACTGTTAATAAGCAGCAAATTAGGAGTTTATCCAGGGAAAACTCTTAATTAACAGTGAATGTGTGTTCCCTATTCTAAAGTGTTACCATTATTTGATTATTTGTTTAGATATCTTGAAAATATGAAGTTCACTCCAGTCTGCATACGATAAACTGCTGTGAAAGACTTCTGTGTCAGTGTAAGCAATGGATACATGCAAAGAGTTTCTGCCATGTCAAAAAAACAAACTTACTTAAAGGGATAGTTCACCCAAAACGAATACAATTAAAAAAATGTCCTGGCTATTCTGAGCTTTATAATGGCAGTGAATGGGGGTCAAAAAGTGTCCATCTATCATAAAAGTACTCCACATGGCTCTGGGGGATTAATAAAGGCCTTCTGAAGCAATGTGTTTGTGTAAGAAAAATATCCATATTTAAAACTTTATAAACCATAATATCTAACTTCCACTAACTGTCATATTCGCGTTCACTAGAGAGTGGCATTCCAGCAGATGATGTAGGCGTAGTTAAAAAAAAGAAATTTTTCTTTACAAATTCTCATTTTGTACTTCAAAATCGTGACCGTTGTTTTGTTTTGCTCTCTCCGCTGTGCTTCTGTGTTCGTCACTTCTCAACGGAGCTTATGCTACGCCTATGTCCTACGTCATATGCTGGAACGCCACTCTCTAGTGAACGCGCATACAACAGTTAGCGGTTTATATATATATATAAGTTTTATATATGGATATTTTTACATAAACGCATCGCTTCACTTCAGAAGACCTTTATTAACTCCCGGAGCAGTGTGGAGCACTTTTTATGATGGATGGATGCACTTTTTTCGAACCCCATTCACTGCCATTATAAAGCTCGGGAGAGCCAGGACATTTTTTAATATAACTCTGATTGTATTCGTCTGAAAGATGAGAGTCATATACATCTAGAATAGCTTGAGGGTGAGTAAATCATGGGGTAATTTTCATTTTTGGATGAACTATCCCTTTAAGAAACACGAAAACTGGTTGTCAAAGGCCCATTGGATTTGGGTTTCAATGCCCAGATATGAAAACTCACACTTAGGTCTCAAAAACGGACTTATGACTTGGTTAAAAATATCAAATGAAATCTCTAGAAATAATACATATTTAATATTATTAACATTTAATATTACATTTAAGAAATTAAAAAAGATTTCACAAAATAAGGTTAACTTCGAGATCTGAGACTTGACTGGGACTGTTAGAGACTTATCAAAAGAGCAAATAAAATGCTTGAGGGTTACATTACATCATCGGGTGTAGTAGTACCTCATTAAAAGAAAAACAAAAAACATGTAAGGAAAATTAATGCTCAATCCCCAGAGGAAACGTATTAAGGAACTTTATCTCTGGTTTCATTAACACCTGTTCTTACTTTTGTTGTTGAAGTAACACAAGAAGATGGCACATATAAGTGCTTATGGCGATCTTAAGCTTAAAAAGTAGTTCATGGAAGTATAGGGAGGTTTTTATTTGGGTCAAGTCTTGTTGTTGAACAATGTGATGATAAAGAGACGCCACTCATAAAAGCAGAAGGCCAAAATAAACAGCCATCCTTTCACTGACGACATGGATTCAATCAAATGTGAGTTTCTAGTTTCCTTTGGGGGAAGGGTATTAGTAGTAATAAGCTGTAGCAAATGAAGCAGCAGCTGCAACAAGAAATTGGGTTAAGACAAAGAAGATCATATTAGAGGATTAAAGTCACTGACTATAACATTAATAGGATTGGAGGATTGGCTTTGCTTTGAGTCTCCAGGATCAATGGAGACTCTCTGTTCTAACACAATTTGACTTTGTCCTACAATATGTCAAATGTTAGGTTAAAATCTAATATCAATAGTTAATTTTCTATAACATCTATCATGTGTCTCCACTAACAGAAGTGAATTAAAATTGAAATAACTCGCTAATACTACACACAGCCAAACAAATGTCCTACACACAGCCAAACAAACGACCTGTAAGTAATCAAATTTTAAACCGTGTTCTTTTTCAAAAAAGTAAAATTAGGAATGAAAACCCCAAACATACAAAAAAACAAACAAACAAACAAAACAGCAGAAACTTAGAACTTAGATTTTTAAATGTTTTTGAAAGAAGTCTCTTGTGCTCAACAAGACTTCATTTATTTGATCAAAAACACAGTAAAACATTAATAGTGTGAAATATTATTACAATTTAAAATAACTGTTTTCTATTGTAATAGATTTTATAATGTCATTTACACTTGAGTTTGTAAAGCTGAATTTTCAGCAGCCATTACTCCAGTGTTCAGAGTCAGCAATCATTATGATAGGTTGATTTATTGCTCAAGAAACATTTCTCATTATAATCAATGTTGAAAACAGTTGTGCGGTTTAATATTTTGTGGAAACAAATGTGTTTTTCCAGCATACTTTGATGACTGCAATAAAATCTTAAATTTAATATATTTTGTAACATTATAAAAGTTTTTACTGTCACTTTTGGTCAATTTAATGCATTCTTGCTGAATAAAAGTCAATACAAATCTTACTGACCACAATCTTTTGCGTATGCATTGCACATATACATACCAACGAGGAATACAATAAACCAAGCATAAAATGCAACGCATGCAACTTTACCTGGCTACAGTAGTTTGCTCAGGAATCTGCTCCGCATCAGGCTTGGGTGCCTGATTGGCTATCTGCAGCTCCGAAAGGAGCTCATTGGGCAAAGCAGCAATAGTAGGCGGACAGACAGGTGCAATACTGGTGGAAACTGAAGCATGCTCAGCCGGAGTACTAGATACAAGGTTAGGTTGCAGTGATGTCAGAAACTGATGTTAAGCTGCTGTCAAGCCATAAATACAGACAGCAGCCGTGTTTCAGGCCATGTATGTATATATGGCTTAATTTAAGTTCAATTTTGTTATAAGCAGCTGTTTCATTCTCATGCTTACAACATTTCTGACCAGAATGCAAGGATGTCCATCATGGGGGAAAGAAATGTTAATTGCTTTATTCTCATTAGACTTATCTATTTTGTCATTGAAGGATTGTAAAAAACTGTAACATAAAAGACTATGCACTATCAATTTGGTATGAGTCACCATTTGAGCTGTGAAGAAGGACCGGACTGTATTATACATTGGTGTCTCAGCAGCTGAGACAACTGTAAGTGCTTTTCTAGAATGAATTAAATGAATCCAGACATAAGGGCTACAATCAATCATGTGCTCAAACAGGGGCAATGAACTGCATATGGCAGGACCTCATCATTTTACAATGACGCAGGGTTTATACGTAGGTTACATAAACCCTTTTAGTCTGTCCATAAAATACAATTCAGTGGTTAGAGAGCAGTAGATTAGTGTTAAATAATACTCCCCTGTGATCCAAGCAAAGAAAAGTGCATTATTCACAAATACATTTCTTTAATCAATTGGCATCCCCTGTACATAATCAACACAATCAAATGAATGGTGAAAACAGATTGGAGTTGGAGCCGCCCAGGCAGGAGAGAGAAGATAAAAGGCAGGCACCTAGCAGCAGCAGGCCTGGTGGTGGACCGATGGCTGACCCCCTTCACACACGCCGCTACCATCCTTCCTGACCATCTCTCTCTCTCTCTTCCTGTCTCATTTTATGTTGAAAAAGCCCATAGAAAAGAGTGAGGTAAAAGATGAAATAAAGAGAGCATTTAAAGCTGAAGTGTCTGATTATTTTTTTGTATTTAGTCCATGCTAATTTGCACAAACACCTATAAGTGAACCATTTGTAGGTTTTCCTGTCGATTGACCCCACGTTTACGACCAATCCAACACAGCAACATTGGCAACCAACCCAGTCTCATGCAACTATTTTACAAAGTAGTGATTTCATATGAATTTGTACAATATGATTGATACAGAAATGTGTGATTTTTTAGATTGGTATGATTTTGGAACAGGACTATCTGTTTGTCCGACCAATAAAAAAAGAGGGGAAATGTTCTGGAAACCTGTATAAAAATAGTTATGTTTGCAATTCCAATTTGTGATCTTACTGGCTCAGAAATTACACACTTCAGCTTTAATGTCATTCTGTGGCTCATATTGAGTTATGATTATGGAACAGAGAGAAAGGTCTGTAAATGTTGGTTGCAGACATTTATGAAGCCTTCACAAAGATTTAAACACTTTCTGTGGTGAACTTGTATGTGTATTGAATCCCTCTCTGTTATTTTAAGTGTATAATGTAAGAGGAGCATGTATGTGTGTATTGGAGGGGCTTTGGGAGAGGTGAGTGGTGGCAGAAAGCAAACACAGATTAGCATTTATTGCAAACCGTGAGAGACTGAAATTAGAGAAAGTCTACACACAAACAAACCAAAAATGATATCTTAAGAAGTTATGATTACATCACTGATTACATGACTCTAGTCTTTCTCTCTCACACACACACATACACAAACACTATATAGATCATGAAGTCCTAATCACTGTATTCATCAACTAGCTAGGCTGTCAAACTCTGGTTTAGTTATATTAACAAAATATTGAATCTCAGCACAGATTCAGAGAACAATGAAATACAGATCACAGAAGCAGACAACGCCTTCAGAAAGAAGGGTTGTAACTGAAACATGTACTAAACTACTTGCAAACGTGTAACTCGCTATTTAATGGACCAGGCCCAGAGGGCAAAGAGAGTCAGGACAGGCAGAGGGTAATTCAGACAAGATACTGCAGTGCCACCTGCTGGCATTATATGCTTGACACATAGTTTGGACATAGGGAAAAATGTGTTCTCATCCTAAAGCGGATTAGTGCAACACATTCTCATGAAAAGCAGCCTAACATGTAGACTATCTTCTCTTTACATGCAAATTAGCAAACGAAATTGGCATAGAAGAGGGTTGTGAAGAAAGACTGAATAAATATTGAATGAAATATGAAATATTCATACAACCACACACAGGACACACTGGAGGGACTGTAAAGCTTTGAATGTTGGATAGGTTCTGGTTTCCAACCCAAGAATTAAGTATTAAACATTTGTTTCCATTTATAACTGTTTTGAGGAAAATATTAAGTCCTTTTTTAAAAGAAACCTGTTAACATACAGGAAGACATATGACTGGGTATCGAGTTACGGCAAAGACTTATGTGTTTCTTTGAAAGCTTAAAAAAAAAAAAGGCTCATTTGGCCACTTTTGTATCTTACAATCATGCATGACAGAAAATGACCTTTATAAAGATGGGTTAAAAACACCAAACTAATTATTTTATATTATGCAGAGAATTATGGAGAGGCTTTTTAACAAGGGTAGAGACTATCCATAATTAAATAAATAAATTGGTGAAAAAAGGTTGTTAAATACTAAAGAAGTAATTCACACTGAATGATTGCAACACATAGCGTATAAAGACTACAGACTAGTAGAACAATACAACAATGAAGATTCAACAGATTCATACAAAGCTGCTTGGATCACATCTGACACTAAAGACTATTTGCGTTGTGGAAAAGAGAAATTTGTCACAAAACACCAAAATCATTGTTCTGTGACCAACTGAAAAAAATGGTGGCACTCTGCTGGCTTGACATTTCAATATTTAAAAAGTACAATAATATAAGCACAATATAAGCACAATACATAATATAATATAATATAATATAATATAATATAATATAATATAATATAATGCAATATAATATAATATAATATAATATAATATAATATAATATAATATAATATAATATAATATAATATAATATAATATAATATAATATAATATAATATAATATAATATAATATAATATAATATAATATAATATAATATAATATAATATAATGCATGTGAATGTGAAACATTAACTAAATATAAAACATGTAAGAAAACCTTAAAAAAAACTTTGGAATTGAAAATTAGAAATGTGGCAACTTGGAAACTAATTAAAATAAGTTGAAGTTACTAAACTGAAGCTGCAATAAAAATAATTTAAAGCTAAATGGGAAAACTAATAAAAATAATGCAATTACTAAAATTTTAACTAAAAACAAAATGAAAATATAAAAGTAAAATTCAAAATATCAATAAATAGCATAATAGTATATAAATATTAATCAAATAAAACTGCAATTATAAAATGGGAATGATTACTTCCAGCCTTTTCATAGGAAAAAAAAGTTATCAGGCTATAGGCCATATATCTAAATATTAATATTAGGACATTTTTAAAGAACATTATTTAATACAAAGTTTAAAGTTAATTTCCTTTCTGTATACATCTTTTGAATCCATGCATACTTTCACACCTAAACAAATCCCTGTGCCAAAAAGCCTTTCCACATGATTAGTTCATCACAGACTTGTGCACAGATGCAATGATGTTCTCAACAACCATCAATATGTAAGCAAACATATAATATAATATAATGCATGTGAATGTGAAACATTAACTAAATATAAAACATGTAAGAAAACCTTAAAAAAAACTTTGGAATTGAAAATTAGAAATGTGGCAACTTGGAAACTAATTAAAATAAGTTGAAGTTACTAAACTGAAGCTGCAATAAAAATAATTTAAAGCTAAATGGGAAAACTAATAAAAATAATGCAATTACTAAAATTTTAACTAAAAACAAAATGAAAATATAAAAGTAAAATTCAAAATATCAATAAATAGCATAATAGTATATAAATATTAATCAAATAAAACTGCAATTATAAAATGGGAATGATTACTTCCAGCCTTTTCATAGGAAAAAAAAGTTATCAGGCTATAGGCCATATATCTAAATATTAATATTAGGACATTTTTAAAGAACATTATTTAATACAAAGTTTAAAGTTAATTTCCTTTCTGTATACATCTTTTGAATCCATGCATACTTTCACACCTAAACAAATCCCTGTGCCAAAAAGCCTTTCCACATGATTAGTTCATCACAGACTTGTGCACAGATGCAATGATGTTCTCAACAACCATCAATATGTAAGCAAACAATCTGATATTGTTTGCTTACAATTACAGAACCAAAAAAGAAAAAAGCATCAAATTACTGATAGCAATAAAGTTCCAACTTGATAAGACATATTGAAAACAAAATTCTTGGCGGAACGAGCAAAACAAACATACGACTTAATGGACAGCAGGAAACAGCACTGCAGTGATGTGCAATGAAATGACTGTTTTGTTTCAGTCAAGTGAGAAGTATCTGATGAAAAGTTGGAGACTGAAAATATGAAGAAAATGACATTACATACAAAAGAGCTAACTGATGCAACATATGTCGACCTAGCATGACGTGTTCCTATGCACATGAAGGCAGAGATCTGAATAAATATGACAAGGATGAAGAGTGAGGGAGGGGCCAGCCACCCAGGGCCACAAGCACTCCAGTGCGGTCACACAGTCTTCCCAGCATGCACTGCATGCAAGTGGGAGGCTCAGAAGTGAAGTAAACCAGTGGTGAAATGGTATGAGAGAAGGACAAGTTAGCAGAGGCATAATTCTATGCTATAAATAAAAATTTAGCGCAAACCAGCCCAAAGCAGTGCTAACACCATTTCCCTATGTGACAACCAGACAGGCAGAATTACCTGGAGGAAAAGTCCTGGTTTATAGACTCTCTCTACTCACAGACATTGACATCCATCATGCTCAACCGCTTGACGTTCTGATGGCTTCACACGCCTTCACTCATCCTCCAGACACAGAGCTTGTCCCTTCAGCTACCACTCATCTAGCTAAGGGTTATTACTCTTCCTACACAAATCAAATTTACACTCCCACCGTAATGTCTTACTAACAGC